CTTCTTTTTCGTGCCCACTTAGGCAAACACAAATGACACAAATTTTAGGCTTAAATTATTTGGCGGTGGGTTTCAGCTAACAGTTCAGTCCGTAAATTGGCGTTATTTGCTCCTAAATTTCTGGAAAGATTTTGTCACTTTGATCAGCTGCAGTTTATAGTGTGATTCTCTAAGTGTGCGCCTGATAACTTTCCCGGTTGCTTTGACCAGTGCTGCTTTGAGTCAGCCTGCTCGTTTCGTTACTTGTCCAACAATTATCTACAAATCTATTGATAATAGAAGGCATGATTCTACCAAACGCTCGTTATGTTATAGATGTATTAAGAAAATTCACTTTCTATTTGCAATATATCGTTTTTTTTTTTTTCATGCAGAAACTGCGACGGCACACCCTTGAGGGAATTCTGAACTGGAACTTGGAATATTCAGGATTCCTCCAATGAAGTTTATATGCCAGTGAAAAAATCCGTTCGAGCATGTAAAAGGAAGTTGCGCCGGGCTTCAGGCTTGAGCCGCTGTTTTTCCTTTGTTTTGAATTGCTTCAAGTTTGTCAATTAGCTGCAAATTAAAATTAATTCGTTCTTGAGAAACTGTAAACGGCGCGGCATTCTGATCAATCGCAGATCAAAGATGGATCAAAGATTGATCAAAAGTGGGATGCGAGTAATAAGTTTGGCTGAACGGGAACAGTACGAATACTCATGAAAAGCAAGCAGATTCGGAGGATTTGCGCTGCTTGCTGCCTGCATATGTCATGATTTTTACGACCAGAATTCGATCCCATTTCAGCGGAAAAGAACACTGCTTGCGACAGGAATCCTAAGCCAACTGTGTATGTTGTGCGCTCTTATACATCGTTCATACTTGAATGCAGGCTTCAACAACAGCTACGCCCGTAGTTACTACGAAATCTATCCCTTTGTTGATTTGCGGAAACGAAGCAAAAGTGAGGGGTCAATAATACAGGACATCTAACAGATGCATTCGATAGAAGCCTTTAGCGGAACACATCAAATCGGCAAAACGAATATTACTCGCAAAATGTTTTCTGAACGGAAGATACTTCGAATTATGAAACTAACCCTGTTAGCGCTATCTGGAATGCGTGTACCAGGGCCAAATATATCGGCAATACCTGCTTTGAAAAGCGCGTCGTAGTCCTGGGGTGGAATTACACCGCCAGCAAATACAAGGATATCTCTAAAATCACGTCAGCAATTGGAAAATCTTTTTCAGGTTGATTCGTTTTCATCCATTTTGTGCTAAAACAGTTGTCCAAACGCATACTGTGTTTTTGTGTATTCTGAGTGCATTTTACCCGTGGGTTTCTTAGGAACTGGAAAAGTTAGGAAACTGAAATTTTAAGGGGACTCCCTATCTGCATGCGATATCGCAGACTCAAATTCATTGTCCGTGTACGTCTTGACTTTACTTGTGAACACTTGAAGGTTTTTGCGCCTAAATTAATAACTTGCGAAGCTGAAAACTTGGGAGAATATTCCTTGCTCGTGTGCCATTCTGTGAAGTAAATACAACCTTTAGTTGCACCTAGGTCCCATTTGCGACAAGTTAAAATTTTAGCGACAAAATTAATAACCCAGGAACCAGAAACAGCGAACTTTTGGCGCTAAAATTAACACGTAACACATCAAACATTAATGCAGTGGACAACAAGATTCCTCAGAATAGAGTTGCACAGGCATTAGCTAGAAAGGGTTGCAAAAGCATCCTCAGGTTGCACAAGCTTTGGCTGGACAGGGCTATACAAAACGCATGATCACGCCAGCCATCCTGATGCGCGCCGCTCTGCTATTTTTTATTGTTTTCCTAGTTGCTAAAGTACCTCATCGTGGCCTAGGAATGGCAACATTCGACATGGTAAGGCTCAACACACACTAAGAGCACCTCAAAATGTTTTCGTTTTGCTTGCTCTGCAACACACTTTCTGTCCCGCACAGCACTGAATTTAGAACAATGATTCAAATGTTTTTGGATCCTCCGGATCAACGCTATAAATGAAGTAACATACGTCTTTTTCACAAACAGAAAGCAGCTTATACACTGTTGCGCAAATACGGCAGTGCGCGTTAAATCGGTGCAACTTTTGCTCTTACTGGTTTTTTAGCGCGTTTTTTAGCTAAGCGCATTGATTCTTAAAATGTGTTTCACTAAAGAAAGCTGCTTGAAACGAACGGTCTGCCAAGCTTAGCAAGTTCTTCGATAAGAGCAGGAATGAGGGTAAGATGACCAGCAGCAAGGCTGCTTGCACCAATGCAGTGCACATCACCGTCTACAGCTTGCTGAGCTGCTTCGGCTGGCGTCTGAAATAGCGGTCCGACATCCACATCAAATCCTAAAATTGTCTCTTGGTTTATGAGAGAATGTTCAATCCACCCGCAATAACCTGCAGCTAAGCAAAAAAGCCCGTAAGTTACCAAGCAGACAAGGAATTGACTAAGCGAACCGATTAAAGTGTTTTTTAGTAAACCAGGTGAAAGGTAATTCATTCTGCATCAAACATCAGCATAGACAACAGACTGGTCATTGGACGATGCAGCACTGATCAAAGAAAATAGAAAAATTTCAGCTGCATAGTCTGGGATTCGAACTGTGAATTAGAGCTGATCAAACGTTACATTGATGACCAAAAAATAAGTTTCATTCAAGAAATGAAAGGGCTAAGGGAAGGAGGGAGGGGCAATGGTGTTATCAGAATTATGGTGAATATATGA